CAGAAAGCTGACAGGAGCAAGGAGCTGACGCTAAGATAGGAAATGCAAGAAGGCACCTACTCTGCAATCCCTTAAATCTGTAGCTAGTAAGAAAGTGATGGGGCATGATGGTTACAAATAAATGGTATGATAAGTGATTTATTGCCTATTGCCTTCCCTTCAAAGATGCCAACAGTTGCTTTTGTCACTGGTGGAAATCAATGTAAATTAGCAAGTTAGCTTGGTTCTCTCTCATGTCTAGCTCACCCAACAAGGTAAGCATAGCAATTACATCAACTGCAAGAGTAATTACATCAACTGAAAGAGCAGAACAGCTCTGTGTAAGGACAGCACATATCGAGCAGCAAACTGTTTGAACACTGAAATGTCATACTGTGCCCTGTGAAGTCAGGGGCAAGTTTGATCCTGCCTTGCAGATAAAGACAAAGCCAGCAAGATTAACAAAATATTTTCAAACAACAATTAAAGAGTTTGGTAAACTTCCTATTACAGCTATGAAAATAGCCACAGACTATGAAAACAAGCATTCCAGGAGACCTAGAGGAGTAACACTTTATTACATGATGTCACAACAGTGGTGCATTTAGAGAGGAATGAACTATTAAAATAAAATCTCTTTGATCGGGTATAACACGATATATAATTTTATCAGGTATAATAAGATCCCGAATCACCTGAACAGAAACGTTCTCACAAAAATTCAGTTTGGCTGCCCATGCAGTGTGTGCCCATGGCCTTATTCCAGTCTCCAAAGATTGTTACAATGAGAAAACAAACTAAAACCCAACGCTGCTCAAACTCTGCAATTAAGAATTAACTGGCGTCACTGAAAGCGTCAGTCACTCTCGCAGACGCTCTTGAGGAAACACAGAGCAGATGACTCAGTGTTCGCTCCCCTCCTCTTTCAGATTACAGCTAAGAAAACTCATGAACAGATTTTTCATTCCCGTAGGTATGTTTCCTTCAGTGATGATCTATGGGAAAAATTTCTTAAGGTACAGAATTCCTTCATGTCATTATACACTTCCCTTTTTCCTTCTGTTTTCATTTGCTCACCAAGCCCACTATTTTACTGGGATAGTTGGTATTCTCATGCATATCCTCCCTACACCAGTCCACCACACCGAAACCCCTGCATGCACCTCAAGCAGAGACAGAAGGTCACACAAAACTGCTGGTAAATAATCAAAACATTACTTAGATTCCTTGGTTTCCCAGGAGCTCCCACACAGAGCCAGAGCTCTGGGAATATCCCATAGCTGTCTCATCTAGAGATGCTGACACTTAAAACCTGTGATTCCCAAACCTGAATTCTGTCCAAAATCACAGACCCTGGAGAATATGAGCAATCACGCCAACAGGTGACAGCATGTTTATTTCTGATGGAAGACTTGATGCCATACAGACCTGGTTTCTATAGGAATCTCAAACCAAACCACTGCTAGAATTTTCTTGTAATAAATTGTTTGCATTTTTTCTAGCTAGCACTGGTAATAAAATTAGATTATTTGTAGAAAGGAGATGTTGAAGTATGAAACACGCTATATATCATTTTATTTCTGGGTCATATGCATTAGTTTCCTTATAAATGGTCAAGAGTTCTGCTTTGCTCAGGATGACACAATAGGAACCACAAGTCTTTTCCCAAAGCCCACTTAAATGATACAGTGAACTTACCCACAATCAATTCTTCTGAAGAGGCCGTGGTTCAATGAAGATTTACACATCAAAGAAAAATCAGTACATACAGCTCCACAAATCAATGTTGGGCTTCACATCACAAGAAATACCACAAATTGAAATTTGTGTCTCAGTAGCTCTTCATTAAAGTTCCTGAGCAGCTAAAAAAAACCACCTTGAGGATTCCAAGGTCTTTGTGGAAGTGTAGCAATGTCCCCAGATACGCCTGAACCCTGCTTTTAACTGTAGCCTGCTACTACCAAATCAGTCAACCATGGAATTAGCTGCAAACTCCAAGGCTGGGATGATGCCAGCTCTGTCCCAGACCCAGTCCTTGGCCTGCACTGACCAGCATGGTAAGTGCCCCGTTGGTGAACAGCCCAGGCTTGGCTGCAACAGGACTATATGGACACCCTGTAAACCCACTTCATGGTCTATTAACCAGCATTCAAGTACCACCTCTATGTTCACAGGGTGAACAACTGGAATGGCATGAATCCTTACACTACAGTCCAAGGCGCTATACATTAAAGGGATGAAAAGTTGTTTAGGCTTGTCAGAGATGGCATAAGGCAGCCTACACTGCACTTATTTCATACACCTACAGTATTTTAAAAGTATGTTTTAAAGACGGTGAAAGTTAACCAATTTTAGCACAAAGTAGTCACTTTATGCTCTTGATTCTACAGTTCTCATAAGAATCTACAGACAAGTGGGAAGGGAAGCAAGGTGTCCATAAAGTAGGATCATTTTATACTTCTACAGTCTGAGAAGAAAACACTGTGTAAAAGAAACTATAAGAAACACTATTTCCTAATCCTGTATGTTTAAAGATATTTTGCCTACTTAGCAGGTGTCAGAAGACAAAATTTTCATACAGAAGCAATATCAAATAAAGAAAATTGGTGGAGAGATCATATCTGTCCATGACAAACTAGTCTTAGACTTTCAATGACTTGGCACTCTATCCAAACTCGCAAGCAAAACCCATCACACAGTCGAGATGACCTGACAGAAGTTAAAAAGTCAACATTTTCTCACTCCTATCTACTGCTCTTAATGTGGTTTTCTAGTGTTTTTGGACTCCAGAAGTTCTTGCTTTGAGATGGCAGCCTGACCGCACAGTTATTGTCAATAGCAATGTATGAAGTTTATGAAACATTTTTCTACCAAGTTAAGATTCTCAAAATACAACAAGAATGACTGTTGAGCATTTCTATTCTGGAAAACCATCTCTCAACAGAGGAAGAAAAATGTGGAGGTCAATATATTATTATGTACTTGATTCAACATGTAACCAAGTGTCGTGGTTTAAGCCTGTAACTCAGAACCACGCAGCCGCTCGCTCACTCCCCCACCTACTTCCTCGCCCCTGCTCCTGGAAGGATGGGGAGGAGTATTGAAAGAATGTACCTCCCACGGGTTGAGTTAAGAACAGTTTAGTAACTAAGGTATAACACAAATCACTACTGCCACCACCAATAATAATAATGATAAGGGAAATAACAAGGGAAGAGAATACAACCACCCACCACCCACCAACCAATACCCAGCCTGACCTGAGCAGCAATCTAGCCCTTCCGCGTAACTGCCCCCAGTTTACACACTGGGCATGATGTGCTGTGGTATGGAATACCCCTTTGGACAGTTTGGGTCAGGTGTCCTGTCTATGCTTCCTCCTGGCTTCCCCTCCTCCCTGGCAGAGCATGAGGCTCACAAAGTCCTTGGTCAGAGTAAACATTACTGAGCAACAACTAAAAGCATCGGTGTTATCAGCACTGTTCCCAGGCTGAAAGTCAAAAACACAGCACTGTACCAGCTACTTAAAAAAGGGAAAAATGGCCACTACTGCTGAAGCCAGGACACCAAGTACATAGCACTGACTTTCAGAATGTCAAACTAACTCTCAGATTTTCTTTTTAAAATCCTCCATCATATGACAACAAATTTTATGCAGCTGAACAAAGTCAGCAGAGCAGAAAGTTCTTTTAGGAAGCAACTGTGTTAATTTAGCAAGCAATTGTGCTTGCTGAACAAAAGCATAAAGGAAGAAAACCTGGACATAGCCAGAGTTCAGATGAAAGAGGGCCAAGACCTACTTGAAGCTTATTTGATCTGACGATTTTGCTGTTTGCATTTTAACCAATGTAACTTCCAGAACTCTTTCCATGCATAATTTGCTTTTAACCTAAAAGCTAACGCTGAAGGAAGATGCATAAATATATGGCCATGTTTAGGCACTTATCCTACCACTGATCACTGAAGTAAATCTCCTAAATATGTGACTGAAAAGTCAGGTGGCAACCTCCCAATACACTGGAAACACTTCTCTATCCTAGTGTCACGACGAGGAGAGAAACAGCTGGCTTTAATCTCATCACTATGATGTCAAACAAGATAAAACCATTACTGCAACATACAGACCCTGTAGACCAGGTACCTCATTTTCAGCCATACCACCATACCCATGATCAGAGTCCTGTCCTATTATGGACGGGACTTAACCACATTCCATTACTCTCAATAATTACAGCCAAATAATATGGGTCATGTCTGTTCTATATAACCACAAGAAAAGGCCTCTGACTTCTCTGCAATATGTGCACCCCTGCAGAAGACTTGTAGAAGGTGAATGAAAGTCAGAATAAGAGCTCAGACCTACTTCCCAGTCTTACATTCCTAAATTTCAACTTGGAATTTACATCATATGCAAATTGTACTTTGCAATATTGTATGCCTGTATATTTTAGCCTTAAAATTTGCATTATATATTCATGACACTTTGGCTGACCTCTTAGAATGGGCTCATTTCCTCCCGTCACAGAGGAGACCAAGCTTTTATTTCCCTACAGTTACCATTCAGACACATCCAATATGTTTCTGCATTTATCATGAGGGCTTTTTCATTTTTTTGCATTGTGCAGAGAGAAATTAAGAGTTTCAGATATCAAAACTAACACTATATGACTCAAACATATTTGACACTTAGAGGCTTTCACAAAGCAATCTGGACTTTGTAAAAAACAGATTTCCTTGAAAACAGACTACTTTACAATGCAGTAATAAAGGTTACTGCTAACAATTAGAGGAAAATGTTCTGAAACGCATATACCAGAATCTTAATAGATGAAACAAAAAGAGCAGCTCATCTTGACTTCTCTTTAAAATGAGGATGAACTAATCAAAACTCATTTTAGGGGAGTGGTGGTGTGATATTTGTTTCGTTTGCTTTAATCAACACAGACCTTTAGAGGAGACAGACAGCTGGCACCATCCGTTCCAGGACAGAATGAAAACTAAAACGTCTTCATTGTACTTACATGTGAGGACTGAGTTCATAGAAGTTTCGGTTTCTGTATTCTTCCACTTTCTCGGGAGTATAAATGGGTAGAGATCGGTAGGGATTTATTGATATCACCACGCTACCAATGTATGTCTGATGAAGAAAAACAGAAAAGTTATCATGGATTTACTTTTAACATACTTTTGATGCTTATATATTATTCTCTCATTTAATACTCATGCAAAACCAAACAGCCTAATTCTAGCAATGAATAAAATAGGTACATATGCTCAGAAACACCTTTTAGATCGTTCTCAGCAATTACCAAGCAGCTATTTTACATAACAGAAAGCCTCTCATGAACATATTTTAAAAGAAAGCCCAATCTTACACATTTCTGTGACAAATTTCAGCTGGGAGAGGGAAAGGAAAAAGGACACAGATGTCCCTGAAGAACTGCTCCATCTGCATGGCAAATGTCACACAAGCTTTGCTGCAGCCCTCAGGCACTCATACAAAACCATGTAAAGCAAGGCCAGGGATGGACTTGCACAGGGCGACTAAGATGATTAAGGGAGTGGAGCATCTCCCTTATGAGGAAAGACTGAGGGAGCTGGGTCTCTGTAGTTTGAAGAAGAGGAGATTGAGGGGTGACCTTATTAGTGTATATAAATATATAAAGGGGGAGTGTCACGAGGATGGAGCCAGGCTCTTCTCAGTGGCAAACAATGAAAGGACAAGGGGAAATGGGTACAAATTGGAGCACAAGAGGTTCCACTTAAACTTGAGAAGAAACTTCTTCTCGGTGAGGGTGATGGAAGACGGGAACAGGCTGCCCAGGGAGGTTGTGGAATCTCCTTCTTTGGAGACATTCAAGACCCGCCTGGACACGTTCCTGTGCAACCTCATCTAGGTGTTCCTGCTCCGGCAGGGGGATTGGACTAGACGATCTTTTGAGGTCCCTTCCAATCTCTAACATACTGTGATACTGTGATACTGTGACTGCATGCCCTCACCCAAGGAGGCGCTTCACTCTACCTCTTCAAAGCCTCAGGCACAGAAGAGCTTCACGGAGAGGAAACCTGAAGGCTAATAGCCTCTGACAGGTTTCTGTCAAAGACATTTACTGTTAGGATTCAAGTCAAAAGTCCTGATGTAGTTCCTTAGCAGACATGAAGCATGATTTTTATTTCTAGACTCTACACACGCTTGGAAAGCAGACGGAGTAACGCATTGTTTTACTCTGTAAGGTCCCACTCACTGCTGAGCCGAATGAAGACTGATACTGTACACCATGATTACCATGTCAGCACATGACACAATTAAACTGCCCTCATCAAGCCTACTGGGAGGTGCCCTGCAGCTTCCTACACCTCCCGTCAGCTGCAAAGGCTGCATTTGAATATACCAGAGTGGCAAAAAATGCCAAACCCCCATTCCACCCTGCCTGCAGGTACAGATCAAAGATTAATTAAGCCCCAAGTGTTCGGTAGCTCTTTCCACAGCCATGAAAGAAACAAATAACAGGTGGTGAAACACAATTTTCCAGTAACCAGGGGCATCTTGGGAGGTGTAAGGGCTGCACACAAAAGCCAGAGGTTCCCGTTATTTGGATTACATTTTAGCAGCTATAGAAGTAAAGCAGTGCTGTTTACAGAGATACGTGATTTTTTGCAGCGACATCTTGCAGTCACTATTTGGATTTCTCCCCATAACTTTTGTCACAGAAGTAATATGTGCTGTAATATGCATTAATATGTGCTGTAATATGCATTTTGATTGGGGAACAGAGGCATGAGGAGTCCGAGCTACTCACCAACAGGTTCAGCAGAGCACTGAATTACCTCCACAGCTGCAGTCACAAATTAATAATATTGATTGCTGCAATACTTCCCTTTCTAGCTTTCCTGTCTAAAGCAATTATCTGCTAAATGTTAACTAAATCTGGTCCTAAGCAGGAATCTAGGAGGGCAAGATTTCCCATTTTCTATAGCATGCATATGCACAGGTAAGCTGTGAACCCCCATGGCATTTTCTGTCCTGTTTAAAACAGAGTTGAGCAAACTAGGCTGCAGTGACAAAACACATAGCCTGAGGCTTCCAGAGACTCTTGTAGTTAACCCTTGTAGTGTTTACTACCCACTGGATGAAACAGAACCAGCATCTGCCAATCACAAGTGCATGGATACCCCACTTAGGACTCTTTCCTGATAAAACATTAATATGTTGATTTGTTTCCTCCTAAATCCTCACAACTTGTGAAATCAGCCTGTCGTGAAATCCACACTGGAAAGAATCAGCAGAAGAGAGACAAAGACCAGATCTTTAAGACTGTATTTTGAAACAGAAATTCTTTGAAACTTGAAGACTTGCCCTTTTCAGCTCGTCTGCCACCGTAACAGCATACAATGTAATTGCTAAGTTCCCTTAAGTACTCTGAGATACCAAGGTAGAGAAAGATGAGTGAAAGCAAAACCTCTGATTTTTAATTTTGAATACAGGCTTTCAAATGAGATTTATTTAGAACCCTCTTCACGGTTAAGTATTGCTTAGACAATGTATTTTTGGAATTCAAGTCAGCCGTTTATTGTCAGACACGAACAAATACAGACCATTGCCTAAAATACCAATACTTCAAAAGGTCAGATGGCTATACAGAAACAAAGACATACTCATGTCCATTTTAAACACTAAGGCAAAACATGCCAAGCAATCATTGTTTTTTTCTGCAAAGCTGCTTACAAGAACTAATGCATTTCCTCTTCTAAAAATGCCAGTATTTCAAAGCTGATGCTTAGTAGCTACTTGCTACTGGTGGTCTGTGAGATTCCACATAACAGGGATAAACAGATCCGGAAAATAGCTTTCCCACATAACATCTGCCTTCCCACCAGAACTCTATTATAAACAAACAACATAAATGGCTTAAATCCTTGAGCAAGGGACAAGCATAGAAACATTCCAGTGATGAAAGAAAAATGCCAAGAGTAGTGGGAGACCATACTGTGGCACTCCAGAGACTAAAGAGATTCTTCATTTTCCCTGTTTAAGGAAAAAAATTAAACCCCAGAGGAAAGGCCTCATGATGATGGACACACAGAATGCAGGCAGGAGATTTGTTTGTTTCTTGGCTTTGACATGGTCTCGTTATGCAAGTCTGGACAAGATCTGCTGTCTTCTCAAGTTTTGCTAACTAGAGACTCTTGATAATACTCCTTCCTCCAAATTTCTGCTTTAATGCAATAACTCACAAGGAAAATTCTGCCTCTTTGGCATGTTTGTCCAGAACCCAAACCAAGAGTACTCTCACTCGCTGTTTATCAGTCCATCTGTCACGTAGTATGGCAACACTGTAATGGGCTAACATTTCATCTCAGCAAAAGAGCATTGAAATGTCTATCAGGTCAAATGTCAGCACATTCTGCATTCTCCACCAAAACAACACATACAGCTCATTCCTGTTCAGCAAAGGGTTTAACACCCCAAAGCAGGAAGAAAATTCCAAATCACAATTCAGCTGGAAAAGATGATAATATCTGTTACACATCGCTTCTAAGTACTGTTCAAGATGCAATGGATCAGGACACTTTGATGCCTGATTTTCTCCCCATAGGACTGAAAGCTAACATAACCTCTTGGGGCAAGATACTGCTGCTACTTCAAGCTTGTATGTGCCTTGCAAGGCCGCCTGTGCCTTTCTAACCCAAGCAGCTTTAAGACTGGCTTAAGAGGAAGCCTGAAATAGCAAGACAATAGGAGGCACCCATCACTTAGGAGAAACCTACAGGCAGCAAGCAGCTTGTTCCCAGACAAGCAGTGGGAAAAGCTATTGCTAGAAACTGGCAAACTGCCTAAAACCCCTGTGGACCTTTTTAGCTGAGAGATTGCAAAACCCTTACAGAGAGTGCAGGGAAAGTTCCAAACACCTCTGCAGCCAGGACACACAAGCACTATGGTAAAATCTGATACACAAGGAAGACGCAATACAGGCCAACTCAAGAAGGGGAGCTTTTATGACACCACTAAGTAGAGCTTATGGGAGAATATTTCACACCCTGGGATAGAGCATACTAATAAAGCTATTTCTCCTCCTGGTGAAGTTAGTCTTGCAATACCACAAGGACCCAGAAGAGAGAAGATTGCAGCTGCGGGAGCCAGGGAACATTACTGAGATCAGCTGAAGCTGCAGCATAGGAGTTATCATACAGCCCTCATATCTTTAAAAGCTCCTCTGCATTTGTAGCAAAAGCAACCTTCTGCAGAGTTTAAAATCATTAAGCATCTACACAGATTTGCCGCAAACCTGGAAGCGCACACTACATCACTTTTGTCAGCTCTGTTTAAAAGACACTCATTGCTTCTTACCCATGGTAGCTAGTAACAGGCCAGACAAATTCCTACTGCACACAAGTCACTCCAGCTTTAAAATGCCCAACTGATAATGTACTCTGCAAGTGTGCTCGATTCCCAAAGGCCAGAAAGGTTACCCTATGTTATTTTTTTTAACCTACTATTTTTTTAAACCTATTATTTGGGGGGGGTTGCCCTATTTTATTTTTTTCTGTGCTCCATTTTATTGGAACACAGAAATAGAAAACAAAGCATTCTAGTGAAATAAGATTGCTAGTGTGGATGCTGATTCTCCCATTCATGCAGAGTAGTTTTAATACTCCAGATATGTATAATGCATGTTTCCTTAGTATTGATTATGCTCAAATGTACAGGGTTCCTATGACTTTTTAAGAGTTTTACATCATGCCCCTAAAACAATTCACTGAAATGAGAGACATTAAAGTTAGAGCAAAGAGAAGTGTGACTAGATTTTATTGGCACAAATCCAGAACCATGGCTTCAGCAGCACTTTCTTTGCTGGGGGGAGCTACGTTTTGGTTTTACGGGTTTTTCTAATGTGACATATGCAAAATTATATTTCTAATACAATACTCATTTTCATGTTTGCCTGAAGTACTGCGGTTCTGGGTTCAGGTCATAAGAACATGTGTCGATGCATGCTCAGAATAGCCGAGGCCAAGGAGATGACTGACACAGAGGAAGCCTGTACTTACATGTTCTCAGTTTCCTGAACCATCCCAAACTCAAACAGAACTGGGCAAATTTAATACTGCAAAGTTACTTTGTAATGAAATCTCTCA